TTACTTTTTCGCCTACTAACATTCATGATCGCCTACTACTTTTATTAAAACTAAAATTGTAAAAGGGAGCAAAAAAATTAAAAAAATTTCTAATGAAATACCAGGCAAGCAGAAATTGTAGAAAGTAGATCAGAAATTTACTTTTTCGCTTGCTATCATTTAAGATCGCCTAAAACTCGTACTTCCATTAAAATTAAAATTTTAAAAAGTAGCAAAAAATTAATTATATTCCTAGCAAAATACCAGGAAAGCAGGAATTGTAGAAAGTAGATCAGAAATTTACGTTGTTGCTTGCTATCATTTATGATAGCCTAATACTCGTACTTTCATTAAAATAAAAATTTCAAAAAGGAGCAAAAAATAATTAGTTTCCTAGCAAAATACCAGGCAAGCTGGAATTGTAGCAAGTAGATCAGAAATTTACTTTTTCGCTTGCTATCATTTAAGATCGCCTAATACTCGTACTTCCATTAAAATTAAAATTTTAAAAAGTAGCAAAAAATTAATTATTTTCCTAGCAAAATACCAGGAAAGCAGGAATTGTAGAAAGTAGATCAGAAATTTACGTTGTTGCTTGCTATCATTTATGATAGCCTAATACTCGTACTTTCATTAAAATAAAAATTTCAAAAAGGAGCAAAAAATAATTAGTTTCCTAGCAAAATACCAGGCAAGCTGGAATTGTAGCAAGTAGATCAGAAATTTACTTTTTCGCTTGCTATCATTTAAGATCGCCTAAAACTCGTACTTCCATTAAAATTAAAATTTTAAAAAGTAGCAAAAAATTAATTATATTCCTAGCAAAATACCAGGAAAGCAGGAATTGTAGAAAGTAGATCAGAAATTTACTTTTTCGCTTGCTATCATTTATGATAGCCTAATACTCGTACTTCCATTAAAATTAAAATTTTAAAAAGTAGCAAAAAATTAATTATATTCCTAGCAAAATACCAGGAAAGCAGGAATTGTAGAAAGTAGATCAGAAATTTACGTTGTTGCTTGCTATCATTTATGATAGCCTAATACTCGTACTTTCATTAAAATAAAAATTTCAAAAAGGAGCAAAAAATAATTAGTTTCCTAGCAAAATACCAGGCAAGCTGGAATTGTAGCAAGTAGATCAGAAATTTACTTTTTCGCTTGCTATCATTTAAGATCGCCTAATACTCGTACTTCCATTAAAATTAAAATTTTAAAAAGTAGCAAAAAATTAATTATTTTCCTAACAAAATACCAGGCAAGCAGGAATTGTAGCAAGTAGATCAGAAATTTACTTTTTCACCTGCTAACATTCATGATCGCCTACTACTTTTATTAAAACTAAAATTGTAAAAAGGAGCAAAAGAATTAAAGAAATTTCTAATGAAATACCAGGCAAGCAGGACTTGTAGCAAGTAGACCAGAAATTTACTTTTTCGCCTGCTAACATTCATGATCGCCTACTACTTTTATTAAAACTAAAATTGTAAAAGGGAGCAAAAAAATTAAAAAAATTTCTAATGAAATACCAGGCAAGCAGAAATTGTAGCAAGTAGATCAGAAATTTACTTTTTCGCCTGCTATCATTTATGATCGCCTAATACTTTCATTAAAATTAAAATTTTAAAAAGGAGCAAAAGAATTAAAGAAATTTCTAATGAAATACCAGGCAAACAGGACTTGTAGCAAGTAGACCAGAAATTTACTTTTTCGCCTGCTAACATTCATGATCGCCTACTACTTTTATTAAAACTAAAATTGTAAAAGGGAGCAAAAAAATTAAAAAAATTTCTAATGAAATACCAGGCAAGCAGAAATTGTAGCAAGTAGATCAGAAATTTACTTTTTCGCCTACTAACATTCATGATCGCCTACTACTTTTATTAAAACTAAAATTGTAAAAGGGAGCAAAAAAATTAAAAAAATTTCTAATGAAATACCAGGCAAGCAGAAATTGTAGAAAGTAGATCAGAAATTTACTCTTTCGCTTGCTATCATTTAAGATCGCCTAATACTCGTACTTCCATTAAAATTAAAATTTTAAAAAGTAGCAAAAAATTAATTATTTTCCTAACAAAATACCAGGCAAGCAGGAATTGTAGCAAGTAGATCAGAAATTTACTTTTTCGCCTGCTAACATTCATGATCGCCTACTACTTTTATTAAAACTAAAATTGTAAAAGGGAGCAAAAAAATTAAAAAAATTTCTAATGAAATACCAGGCAAGCAGGAATTGTAGCAAGTAAATCAGAAATTTACTTTTTCGCCTGGTATCATTCATGATCGCCTACTACTTTTATTAAAACTAAAATTGTAAAAGGGAGCAAAAAAATTAAAAAAATTTCTAATGAAATACCAGGCAAGCAGAAATTGTAGCAAGTAGACCAGAAATTTACTTTTTCGCCTGCTAACATTCATGATCGCCTACTACTTTTATTAAAACTAAAATTGTAAAAGGGAGCAAAAAAATTAAAAAAATTTCTAATGAAATACCAGGCAAGCAGAAATTGTAGCAAGTAGATCAGAAATTTACTTTTTCGCCTGCTATCATTTATGATCGCCTAATACTTTCATTAAAATCAAAATTTTAAAAAGGAGCAAAAAATTAATCATATTCCTAGACAAATACCAGGCAAGCAGGAATTATAGCAAGTAGACCAGAAATTTACTTTTTCGCCTGCTAACATTCATGATCGCCTACTACTTTTATTAAAACTAAAATTGTAAAAAGGAGCAAAAGAATTAAAGAAATTTCTAATGAAACACCAGGCAAGCAGGAATTGCAGCAATTAGATCAGAAATTTACTTTTTCACCTGCTAACATTCATGCTCGCCTACTACTTTTATTAAAACTAAAATTGTAAAAAGGAGCAAAAGAATTAAAGAAATTTCTAATGAAATACCAGGCAAACAGGACTTGTAGCAAGTAGACCAGAAATTTACTTTTTCGCCTGCTAACATTCATGATCGCCTACTACTTTTATTAAAACTAAAATTGTAAAAGGGAGCAAAAAAATTAAAAAAATTTCTAATGAAATACCAGGCAAGCAGAAATTGTAGCAAGTAGATCAGAAATTTACTTTTTCGCCTGCTATCATTTATGATCGCCTAATACTTTCATTAAAATCAAAATTTTAAAAAGGAGCAAAAAATTAATCATATTCCTAGACAAATACCAGGCAAGCAGGAATTATAGCAAGTAGACCAGAAATTTACTTTTTCGCCTGCTAACATTCATGATCGCCTACTACTTTTATTAAAACTAAAATTGTAAAAAGGAGCAAAAAAATTAAAAAAATTTCTAATGAAATACCAGGCAAGCAGGAATTGTAGCAAGTAAATCAGAAATTTACTTTTTCGCCTGGTATCATTTATGATCGCCTACTACTTTTATTAAAACTAAAATTGTAAAAAGGAGCAAAAGAATTAAAGAAATTTCTAATGAAATACCAGGCAAACAGGACTTGTAGCAAGTAGACCAGAAATTTACTTTTTCGCCTGCTAACATTCATGATCGCCTACTACTTTTATTAAAACTAAAATTGTAAAAGGGAGCAAAAAAATTTAAAAAATTTCTAATGAAATACCAGGCAAGCAGAAATTGTAGCAAGTAGATCAGAAATTTACTTTTTCGCCTACTAACATTCATGATCGCCTACTACTTTTATTAAAACTAAAATTGTAAAAGGGAGCAAAAAAATTAAAAAAATTTCTAATGAAATACCAGGCAAGCAGAAATTGTAGAAAGTAGATCAGAAATTTACTTTTTCGCTTGCAATCATTTATGATCGCCTAATACTCGTACTTTCATTAAAATTAAAATTTTAAAAAGGAGCAAAAAATTAATTATTTTCCTAGCACAATACCAGGCAAGCAGGAATTGTAGCAAGTAGATCAGAAATTTACTTTTTCGCTTGCAATGATTTAAGATCGCCTAATACTCGTACTTCCATTAAAATTAAAATTTTAAAGAGTAGCAAAAAATTAATTATATTCCTAGCAAAATACCAGGAAAGCAGGAATTGTAGAAAGTAGATCAGAAATTTACGTTGTTGCTTGCTATCATTTAAGATCGCCTAATACTCGTACTTCCATTAAAATTAAAATTTTAAAAAGTAGCAAAAAATTAATTATTTTCCTAACAAAATACCAGGCAAGCAGGAATTACAGCAAGTAGATCAGAAATTTACTTTTTCGCCTGCAAACATCCATGATGGCCTACTACTCTTATTAAAACTAAAATTGTAAAAAGGAGCATAAAAATTAAAAAAATTTCTAAAGAAATACCAGGCAAGCAGAAATTGAAGCAAGTAGATCAGAAATTTACTTTTTCGCCTGCAAACATCCATGATGGCCTACTACTCTTATTAAAACTAAAATTGTAAAAAGGAGCAAAAAAAATTAAAAAAATTTCTAAAGAAATACTAGGCAAGCAGGAATTGTAGCAAGTAGATCAGAAATTTACTTTTTCGCCAGTAGGTATACTAGGCCGATTCTAGACCAGGCCGATTCTAGACCAGGAAATGAGTCATTAGTTTTAATATTTTTCATAGTGGTGATAAGAAATGTTCATAGTGTATATTGTTATGGTATGAATTAAATTGGAGAGCTTTTAATGTAAAAAAATAATGTGTGTTTATTAATTGTTTTGATAAGAATTTTTTTTGTGTGATTTGAGAATAAGAAAATGATTTGGTTCCGATATTTGATAATTTATTATCGCGCAATAATTGATTTAAATATAGTAAGTCTTTCAATATTATCATTAAATTTTCTTTTAATTTTTTTTCACTCGCGTTCTTTTCATTTTTAAGAGAAAGCCGTATATGCTTTCTTAAAATAATTTTTGATATGTCCGTCATTGTAAAAATTATTTTTATTTTAATACGCAACTTAACCGTCCAATAAAAATTTTAAAACTAATTTCAATTTTAACAATTTGTTTTTTAAATTTGTTGTTTTTTAATTAAAATTATCAGTAAGTTTTAATTGTTTAACATAAAAAAAAAAAAAAAAAAATTCTATATCCTTTGTACTGGTTCTACTACCTGAAAATTAAAATATCTGAAAATTAAAATATTTGTGAAAAAAAATAACTAATAATTATTTATATTTTACTTTATTTTATTGATTTTTTTTTTTGACAATATTATTGGTTGTCAGCCAATTTTTCTTGTGAGAAAATGTCTTCTCTCACCAATTTGTATTTGTCTTTTTGATGGCATATCATTACTATATCCGATTCTACGTTGATCTTGCTAATTTGTTCATCTGTTAAGAAGTCTTTCATAAATTCCGGTAGGAAAAATACCGTATTTTCGAATTCCAGCATCAGTCGCTGGCCATACACGGTATTTTTCCTTTCAATTCTATTTACTTGGTAATATTTGTTCAATACTATGTCTCCCACTCTTAAGGCTCTCTTCATCACGTTCCGCCTTATGACCTTTTCATTGAAGGTATCTAAAATACCATCAATATTTTCTTCACTTCGTCTTCTTTTACGGTTGTTGCCGTTGTTGTTGTTGTTGTTGTAGTTGCTTTTGCTGTTGATTTTGCTGTTGTTGTTACTAGTTACCCTACTGCTACTAGTGCCAGTAATAGCATAATCAAATGCTGATGGTGGTAGCGGATCCAGGATGATTGAATCTATTATTTCTACTTCGCTGGTCATTTTGAATTATTTTAATTATTTTAATTAATTAATTATAAGTACTATTTCTTTAAAGTAGTTTATTAAACTGAATAATAATTTCAAACGACGGTCCTTTTTATTTCAAAATTACATTTGCGTAAGGTCTGAAATTACTGATAAAGTTTTATATAAACTCTAAAACACACAAAACTAGCCTATACTTTTATTTTTTTATTCAAGAAGCAAAGCAAAGGAATTCCCTATTGTGACGTCATTCTCATTCTTTCATAATAACAAAATCTTGCTTTTATTTTTTATTCAAGAAAGAATCTCTGACCTCACTTTCACTGTTCATACAACCAAAATCATGAAATTTTTATTTTCTTATTTTCTTATTCTCAAATCCATAACAATATACACTATGAACATTTCATATCACCACTATGAAAAATATTAAAACTAATGACTCATTTTGTGTGTTTATTAATTGTTTTGATAAGAATTTTTTTTGTGTGATTTGAGAATAAGAAATTTTTATTTTCTTATTTTCTTATTCTCAAATCACACAAAAAAAATTCTTATCAAAACAATTAATAAACACACATTATTTTTTTACATTAAAAGCTCTCCAATTTAATTCATACCATAACAATATACACTATGAACATTTCTTATCACCACTATGAAAAATATTAAAACTAATGACTCATTTCCTGGTCTAGAATCGGCCTGGTCTAGAATCGGCCTAGTATACCTACTTAAAAAGGAGCAAAAAAATTAAAAAAAATTCTAAAAAAATACCAGGCAAGCAGGAATTGTAGCAAGTAGATCAGAAATTTACTTTTTCGCCTACTAACATTCATGATCGCCTACTACTCTTATTAAAACTAAAATTTTAAAAAGGAGCAAAAAAATTAACAAAAATTTCTAATGGGCAAGCAGAAATTGTAGCAAGTAGATCAGAAATTTACTTTTTCGCCTGCTATCATTTATGATCGCCTAATACTCGTACTTCCATTAAAATTAAAATTTCAAAAAGGAGCAAAAAATTTATTATTTTCATAGCAAAATACCAGGCAAGCAGGAATTGTAGCAAGTAGATCAGAAATTTATTTTTTCGCTTGCTAACATTCATGATCGCCTACTACTTTTATTAAAACTAAAATTGTAAAAGGGAGCAAAAAAATTAAAAAAATTTCTAATGAAATACCAGGCAAGCAGAAATTGTAGCAAGTAAACCAGAAATTTACTTTTTCGCCTGCTAACATTCATGATCGCCTACTACTTTTATTAAAACTAAAATTGTAAAAGGGAGCAAAAAAATTAAAAAAATTTCTAATGAAATACCAGGCAAGCAGAAGTTGTAGCAAGTAGATCAGAAATTTACTTTTTCGCCTACCATCATTTATGATCGCCCATTACTTTCATTAAAATTAAAATTTTAAAAAGGAGCAAAAAATTAATTATTTTCATAGCAAAATACCAGGCAAGCAGGAATTGTAGCAAGTAGATCAGAAATTTATTTTTTCGCTTGCAATGATTTATGATCGCCTAATACTCGTACTTCCATTAAAATAAAAATTTCAAAAAGGAGCAAAAAATAATTATTTTCCTAGCAAAATACCAGGCAAGCAGGAATTGTAGCAAGTAGATCAGAAATTTACTTTTTCGCCTGCTAACATTCATGATCGCCTAATACTCGTACCTCCATTAAAATTAAAATATTAAAAAGGAGCAAAAAATTAATAATTTTCCTGACGAAATACCAGGCAAGCAGGAATTGTAGCAAGTAGATCAGAAATTTACTTTTTCGCCTACCATCATTTATGATCGCCTAATACGAGTACTCTCAATAAAATTAAAGTTTTGAAAAGGAGCAAAAAATTAATTATTTTCCTAACAAAATACCAGGCAAGCAGGAATTGTAGCAAGTAGATCAGAAATTTACTTTTTCGCCTGCAAACATCCATGATGGCCTACTACTCTTATTAAAACTAAAATTGTAAAAAGGAGCAAAAAAAATTAAAAAAATTTCTAAAGAAATACCAGGCAAACAGGAATTGTAGCAAGTAGATGAGAAATTTACTTTTTCGCCTACCATCATTTATGATCGCCTAATACTCTCAATAAAATTAAAGTTTTGAAAAGGAGCAAAAAATTAATTATTTTCCTAACAAAATACCAGGCAAGCAGGAATTGTAGCAAGTAGATCAGAAATTTACTTTTTCGCCTGCAAACATCCATGATGGCCTACTACTCTTATTAAAACTAAAATTGTAAAAAGGAGCAAAAAAATTAAAAAAATTTTCTAAAGAAATACCAGGCAAGCAGGAATTGTAGCAAGTAGATCAGAAATTTACTTTTTCGCCTACTAACATTCATGATCGCCTACTACTCTTATTAAAACTAAAATTGTAAAAAGGAGCAAAAAAATTAACAAAAATTTCTAATGGGCAAGCAGAAATTGTAGCAAGTAGATCAGAAATTTACTTTTTCGCCTACCATCATTTATGATCGCCTAATACTCTCAATAAAATTAAAGTTTTGAAAAGGAGCAAAAAATTAATTATTTTCCTAACAAAATACCAGGCAAGCAGGAATTGTAGCAAGTAGATCAGAAATTTGCTTTTTCGCCTGCAAACATCCATGATGGCCTACTACTCTTATTAAAACTAAAATTGTAAAAAGGAGTAAAGAATTATCTATTTTCCTGACGAAATACCAGGCAAGTAGGAATTGTAGCAAGTAGATCAGAAATTTACTTTTTTCCCTACTAACATTCATGATGGCCTACTACTCTTATTAAAACTAAAATTGTAAAAAGGAGCAAAAAAATTAAAAAAATTTTCTAAAGAAATACCAGGCAAGCAGGAATTGTAGCAAGTAGATCAGAAATTTACTTTTTCGCCTATGTACGCAGCTGAGGTGTTTTAAATGGCCGCTAAGTCAATGAACTATAAAGTAGGTCAAAGGTTGCAAAGCAAGTTGTTTACTTGTCCAAGTTCCAAAAAAGTCCAAGATATGGGGTTTTTTCCCAGCACCAAGTACCCCAATACCTACTTATGTATATTCATAACAAATATTTGCTGGAAATTGATCAAAGAATCATCCCTGAAATTATTTGCCACCTCATGCGAAGGCACCATTTGGAAGGCATAAAAGTTTATAATTTTAAGAAAAAGAAATTCTATATATATATTTTTTTTTATTATTTTATTTCTCATTTTTTTTTTACATGAAGTTTTTTAAAATTTTTGATACTTTTTTTTATTTATATATTTTTATTATTATGAATAAATAATATAAAAAAAGAAGAAGTTTTATACATATAAAGATTTTTCTATTTTTATTTTTTTTTTTTTTGTTTTCTGCATTTTTATTCAAATTGTAAATTTTAATTAAATATGATAAAATTTGCTATAATGATAAATTAGTTACGTAAAAATTTTTAATATAAGGTGTCTTCTTAACATTTAATAATCAGAAGTTTTTTAAAACAATAAATTTATTATTTTATTTGAATGATGTGCTGGTGATGAAAATCTGGAACTAATTAAGAAAGGCAACAAAATATTAATAGGGTGTTTTGCTATTTTTTGATTTACAAAATTATTTGTGCTTTCAAGAATTTTTCTCTTAGTTGTTATATTCGAGTTGAAACAAAAAAAAAACAAAAATGATAGATAGCCCTACTATGAATTCCGTTCGTAGCCCTGAATTTCGGAAAATTACGAATGTCATATTGTCAACTTCGAAATTATTAAAATTTTGCTCCGAATATTATTATAATTTCGTAGACTTTTCAAATTATTTAGTAAAAATAATTTGAAAAGTCTACGAAAGATATACTCACTTTTATAGATGAAAGTTGTTTACCCAAAAAGTAAAAAAATATAAATGAATATTTGTCAGTTGAAATAAAATACTGACTTTCGTAATTCGTATTATGAGTCGAATTCATGATAGAACTGATAAGCTAAGAAATTACTAACATTTAAAAATTATATTCGATTAACAATTATAATGTACTCAATATATTGAAAAAATAAAAATCTACAAATTTTCCAACTTAATTTTAAAATATTCTACTAAAAAAAATGTACATGCACAATATGCTTATTTATTAGACTAAATTATGTTTATGAACTAGACTAGCACGGTGGCGAACAGAGGAGCGGGTCGTTGGGGATTCTTAAAAAATTTAAAATAATTTCCTTAAAACAAGTATTGTTAACTATATAATAAACTATTTTATTCTATTAATTTTTTTTTTTATTACGGCACTTAATTTTCAATAATGTATCACCACCAGCATCACTGACCTTAAAAATTTTGAAGCAACCAGTGTGTATTTAACTTTAATTTACTAATATATTTTTATTTATAAATATATATATATATGTATATACATATATGTGCTTTTATTATATATACATTATTTCTTTTTAAATTACATTTTATAACCATGTACCATTTCCTTATCCAAAAAACTTAATAATCAATTTTGTTTTTATTTAGAGCCTCATATTCTGTATTTCACCTTTGTTGTTTTACTCACTTAAACTAGATTAGGAAAAAGTGAATGAATATTACATAAATTATTATAATTCTATATAATTTTAGCCTAATCCCGTTGTTCGAAAAAAATTTCACTCGTTTTGGAAAAAAAATATACATATATAAATGTATATGACCAATGGTGCAGTGATTATGGCACCGATCCTTTAACCGAAGGGTCTCGGGTATACATATATATATATAAGTTTATTTAGTAAATAAGAAATTTAATTATTTTTGTTATTTATTAAAAGAATTGTATTGGCTATTGATTAAGATTTTATCGGGCCCAGAAATTTAATTAAAAAATAAGAATTTTAATGAACAAAAAATATACATACACAAAAAAGATAAGTAAATATAAATAAGTAAAATGAATAAAGAAATACTTTTTTTTGAATAATTAAAAACAAAATATTTTTAAAACAAGTTTAAAGTGTCAATGAAATTAAAAATTTTTAACAGATCCTTATACAAACAAAAAAGAAAAAGAAAACTCATTTTAAATTTTAAAACACTTGGTTTAGAAAATTTATATATATATAAGTATGTATACATATATATGTGTAAATTACAAATATGTATAGAATTTTTCACTATTAATGGTGACCAAGTGCACAATATTAGTGCTCAGGTAGATATGCAACTTTTAGTTGTGGAAACATTTCATTGCTTTATATGTATTCCATAGGTTTATATTCAAGCGCCCACACATGCAACCTATATGATCGCATGCACTTAAGGAATCGAACAATTTGTAATTTTTTATAAACTGGTTGCAATTTTAAGTTGTTCGATTGCTTAATTGCATGCGACCTGTTCGATTGCTTAATTGCATACTGTTGCATGTGTGCGGGCTATTCAATAAACCTATGGCATCCAAATAAGCAATCAGACAGCTGCAAAATTAAAACTTCAGGTCCATCTGAGCTCTTAATGTATTTACTTTCAGTGATTCTTAATAACCAGAAAACTTTAATAATAAGAAAATTAAATAAAACTATTTTATTTAAATAAACCTTCAAATTGAAAAATTTATATGCAAAAAAAAGGAATGAAATTTTGTACTATTACATATTTAAAATTAATTAAAATGAACATTAATTGAATATTCAAAATTAATTAATTAATCAATTAATTAAAATCAACATTTTTAAATCGACCGATAACCAAAAAATATGAATAAAAAAGAAAAATTCATAAAATAAATAAAATTTATTTATAATTAAAAATTCTCTGATAATCTTTTGTTCACTGTAACCAAATACCAAAAAGAATCCTAAATACTATTTAATTTGATCAAAACGATTTTAACAAAAAATTATATAATATTGGCAGAGATTAACGATTAGATTTTGTTTTTTCGAATTACAATTTTACAATCCTAATTTAAAAAATTACAAGTGATTTTAAATAAAAATATTTCTAATTATTAATTTTGTACGACAATTTAAATTAAAAAATAAGAAAAAAACGATTTTTTTAATTTCTTAAGAGGATATTCAAATACGGACATGCATATATATGTAAAATTCCATTAAAATTTATTGTACTTTTAATGCACATAAAATAATATAAATAAATATATAGAGTAAGAATTCTATAAATCGAACTTTTTTAAATTACGTTTTAAAAATATGAGAAAAATTCGAGTATTTGAATTATTTTGAGTGTGTTTGTGTGTGTGACAAAATTGACACAGAAAAATTTTCTACTTTTTCTCTCTTTGTATTTATCAAAATATAATATTAAAATGTAAATACATATTTATATTTTTAAAATGCATAATATCTTATGTACATAGTTTATAATTATATACAGAGGGCAATTTTTGTAATTCCACAAACGAACTACTTTTTTGAGTAATAGCTAGTAAGCATAACTAAAATTTTACAATTGCGAGTAGCGTTACTCAAAAAATTACATATTTCATGTGTGTTATTACAAAAATTGTCTTTTGTATATCATTATAAAGTATATACACAATGATAAAATATAAAACTTAAAATTATTTTTGCTATTGTACTAATATGTTATATAGGAATGACGATATTACTCACTATACACATCAAAATAACACGGAATTGTAATTTCAAATTTTTCACAATTAACACAATTTGAAGAAAAAACAAACAAAAAAAAATTTTTATTTCTATTATCGCGATTATCTTAAAAATTTAGTAAAAAATTTAAAGTACATAAATATTGTATGTACTTCTTCTATAATATAAATAGTTTTAGTGTTTTATTTTTCTAAAATAATATTGTGATTTAAATCCGAAATAATCTAAATATTTAATAAAAAATATTTAAGTAAATTAGAAAATTTATTTTTCTTTATATTGAAGTTAAAGTTTTAATTCGAATAATCTAAGCTTTACTGTATACATTATATGTTACATTTATACATACATATTACAATATTTTAAATATTTTTGTAGTTAAATTTTTTTATTTTAAATTTTTTTTTATATTTTCTTCATTTTCTTTTATTTTATTTATTTATCTACTTTAAAAGAGTCTATTTTTGTTGTTGATTAATAAAATCGAAAGTCGTTGCTCCACTAATTTTTCCAGATGCACTTCTATGAAAATGAACATTTTGCCATTTGCTATCTCTTTTATGCCATACACGTGTCTCTTCTGATTGATGTGTGTGAGCATGTCCTTGTCTACAAAATAAACAAAAAATAAAAGCAAAATTTTAAAATTTTAATTCCAAAAAACATTTACAATTTCTTTAAAACAAAAAAAAAATTCTTAATATAAATTATTTCTATATAGTCGGTTAACGCGCGTTATAAATCGCGTTATATTTTATTGCCCAAACCTCTCAGTTTATTTTTAGAAAGTAACAATTCTTTAATTTTTTAAACGTTGTCAAATTGAATCTCGGTGATAGTAATGATATATCAATGTTAACAAGATATTTATTTAAATTCAACAAGACTAAGCAAAAATTTCTAATACTAAATTGTGTTTTATAGTTAATAAACTCTTTTCAATTTTTTAACTAAGCAAATTCTGAATCAACTGTTGATTTATAATAAAAGTATTTGAAATATTTAAAAAAAAAATTTGAGCATATACAAAAAACGAAACTGCCGGGAACTGCTGTCCAAGTCCCTAGGGGATATATCCAGCTCTTACCACACTCGGTTCTCTTAAAACCTACGAATCTATACCGATACGAAAGATTCAAATATTCATAATTATCTCGGGGCAATTAGTTATTAGTATGTAATGGAGATAAACTAGCGTTGAAGTTTTAGTCTGAAGAATCTTTCTTAAAAAAAAAAAAATTTCAACTTAATAAAATTACTTACTTGTCAATATACTGCGTCAATCTAACATAAGCAATGCAAGCCGCATCTTCACCTAGTAAATGTACATGAGGATTCAATATTGTTGTATTTATAGCCTTACAATTTTTTCCAAGCACTAAAATTTGTATACAAAATTAAAATATTATTTTGTAAAATTATCAGAACTAAAAATTTATCAAAACAAAAAAGTAAAAACAAATACTATATAATATAGGTGGAATCAAAATCAGTGCAGAATTTACCCAACAGATATTACATCCTATATAGGTCTTTCGCGTATACATGTATATATGTATGAGGGCTTCAATTAACAATTAAATTTTAACAAAAGATATTTATTAATTGTTATACATAAAAAATATAGATGAAATTGTAAGTATATATGTATACAAGTAACGTTATGACATTTCTACTGCAAATGTAGACCGAAAACTGGATACATAGCTACAGAGAAAGAAAATAATTTATCTATCCACCATAAATGTGTATTTTATTGTATTTTATTTACAGAAGTGATTCTGAAATTTATTCTTGTTTTTGAAATTTTGTTGAGCAAATTATTAAAATACATTTGCATATATTTTATTCCAAATCCGGTATACAATTGAATTAAATATTTTAATATATATTCAAATATTCATCTCTTTCAAGATGATTCATCATAAGTCATTATATAATAAATTCGGCTCTGATTTACAAAGCATATTATATTAAATAAATAAGCATACTATTTTACACATAAAAAATTTTTTTAAATGACAAAAAAAATTACCATTTTCAAAATAGAATTTATGAAAATCAATGCCTTCGACTAGATTACCTAATGCTTCGGGCTCAAAAGCAGTTAAATGTGGGTCACATATTTTTCTGTAAAAAAATTTTTTTTTTAAATAATATATTAAATGACTTTTCTGTGATAATTTTTCTTAAGAAATAATACAATTTTTTATTTATATTTTTTTTTTGCAAAACTGTTGCATTTCCTAATCAAATGGACTTCCGTCGCATCACACGAATATTATGTTACAAATTTGAAGCGTGAAATGCTTTAACTATTTAACTTTATCAATAAAGAATCCTGTTACAGTCCGACAATCTTTATAATATATATATATATAAATAATATTTGTAAGTCATAATCTAAACTCTAAGCCCATATAACGTTCACCGAAAATAATGGAATCGGTGACTAAAATTGATATAAATCCTGTATAATATGGATGCTTTATTTTGAAAGTGACTTAAGATTTGAAATTAAAGAATTCTTTTTATTTTTGTGAATTAGTTGAAATTGAAACTTATGTTGAGTCGAATAAGAAAATTAAATATTCAACATAAAGCAAATAACCTGTTTAACCGAACAGTTTTCGTTACTTTGCGATACCAAAACGAATTGGCAATCATTCATTTTTAATTGAAATATAAACTAAGGTCACTTTTAAAATAAATCGTCAATCCAATAAAGAGTTTATAAAGTATTTAAAAAATTGAGGATTTTTTGAAAATTCCGTCTTTTCAATAAAACGTATATATGTATGTGAATTAGACCACTCTGGTTCTATATATAGATGCACAAATAATTAATAGTATAAAAATATTTAAATTGACTTCTTCATAGCACATTTTATTAGGAAAACACACGTTTTTTATATAATTGCGTACATATATGTATGTATTTGTACAAAGGGTGTACCAAAATTCACAAGAGATTTGAATTTTGTACCCTTTATATTGACAAATGTAATATACTTAACATCAAATATACTTCCTATGCTTGAATTTATATATGAGAAAACTTTCACATTTAAATTTGGGAGCTGAAAGCACATTCAATTATTCTGAACGAATTCAGAAAATTGAGATATAACAAGCTAACAAATTTTTTTTAAAGTATGTAAAATTCAAAATATGTTATTCCCTGTTTTTCAAAAAATTCATTTACAAACTTAGGATGTTCTACAAAATATGGCAATTGTATGCGATTGTTAAAAATTTCGTGTATTATACTGAATTTGTGGAGTCCCGCAAAGTAGCTGCGAAGCTGTTATATACGACGATTAATATAAAATACATAATATGAACAAATCTTTATATTTTTACAAACACCTGTGAGTTAATATGCAAAATATTTAACAGGAATTTCAATAAAGGAATTCCCATATTACCGGTTTATTGCTTAAATTTTTCGCACAAATGAGTATAGTAAAATATGTAACGAAGCGAAGCGCTTGTCCAAACCAAGCATGCTACAATCGATAATAATTTAAATAATCTTATATAAAAAGTAATTTTATGATTGCGCATTTTGCAATCGATTATTGCTAAAATTAGTAAGTTTTTAAAATTTAATTATTAAAATTTTGAGACACTCTGTACATAAAATATTATATTTTGTATAGTTAAATATTTTTTTTTTAATATTTTAATATTTACGTATAACTATCAAAATCTCCACTATTGATAGCTTCAATCAATTGTTCGGTGATTTTAATAATTTCCTGTCGTCGAGCTGCAATCCAAGTGTTATTGTTTTTGAAAAACAGTTGAGAAAAAAAAAAATTAAAAAAAAATATTTTATAATTAATATGTATTTTTGTTTTTGTTAAAGAATAGTTATTTTAAAAATATATTGGAGATATTTGGCAAAAAATGTTTATCATTAATGCTTAGAGGGTGTAGTTTTCTTTTTCTCCAAAAAAATTCGAGACAATAAGTGTTTTAACAACCAAGAAATACTAAATGTTATATACCAATGCGGTGTGCCGGTATGCTCTTTGAGGGATTCCGTGAGGCTGCTTTAGAAATTACACGAGAGAACTTCATAAATAATATTTAATAAATACGAGCTCGAAATATAATTTTTGGCGAGATGCTGTTTGATATGCAACAGAATTTTATTAAGTAGCAGTGTTGCTACTTTAATCGAAAATGAACCCTTTTTGTTCTGTTAAAATTGTTCTGGCTCCATGGCTCGTCTTTTTTATCATATTAAGTCATATTTGGGCAAAACACTCATTTCGTCTATATCTTCCCAATATATTTGCGAAAATTAGTAATGGTAATGAGCAAACTATATACAATATTATTAGTTTCAAATCGCAACAGTGTCCGAGATACAGGAATTTTAACAAATATTTTCGAAATTTCTATTTGCCTAAACTTCTCAGTTTAGATACACACCCTTGAAGATAGAAAGCTGAAATTTAATATGTACATAGATCTTTACTAGAAACTTATTTTCGTAGAACAAAATTTTTACCTATCTCCCCCTCTCTAAAAGTTATATCCCTCCAAAAACCCTAAAAAAGCCATTATTTAACTATTTGTTGCAGTGAAACCATAAGCATTTTTCAAATTTTGCAAACGCAGAAAGGTAGTGGCTTGCTTCTGCTATCGCTGCATACTATAGTTAAATTTAAAAAAAAAAACAAAATGGCCGTTGAAATTTACCGTTATCTAAAATCCGTTTTTTTCAAAATTTTTGAAGACGTTTTTTTTTCTAGACCTCAGGTTGTAGCAGCTTTTAGACACTAATAAATAGTTTATTTGGTTAGAAGAAATTTTTTTTCCATCTCCATCCTCTCTCAAGTTATCGCCTAAAAATTTGAATTTTTGACGCTATATATTTCCGAAACCGCAAGCTTATTTAAATTTTTCAAAACGCTAAAAGCTAACGGTAAATTCCATGCCATTAAAAAATATAATTATTTTTCTTAACTCACGCAATTAACTATTAAACTCCTTAAATTAATTTTTGCTTCATTTCAAAGACTGCATAAAACGTTCACCCTAAATATATGCATTCCAAGAAATAGTTTCGTTTATGAATGAAATTAAATAATTTAATAGTGTGGTAGGTATACATAGACTATATTTAAAAGCAGTATTTTCACTTGTTAAAGGGAAAAGTGCTACAATACAAACCATTGGTTTGACCCAACTTTATTTACTTTATTTTGTATTTTATGTGCTCTCTCTCGAAATACTTTGAGAAACCAAACATTTTTTTCGATTTTTTTCCACTATTTGGTGTGAAATTTTTAGAAACTTTAAATCTTTTTTACAGAATTTTGGCCACTTTCTTACAGCCTGATCGTGTATCCCGCTTTTTTTAAGATTACTCATTTTTTCAATTGGATTTTTGTATTTTCTCTTTAATTATTGATTAAACGTCTTTCAAAAATAAAGTGAATAAATTTTGTATACATTTTAGAAAAAACGAGATACGCAATACCGAACAGTTCTTCTCACTCAAAAATTACATTATACAAATACATAATAGTTACTCACTTTCTTCTCACTTGCCGAGTAAAATAGCGAGATAGACAATCAGGCCCTTAAGCTTTAATTTAAGTCACTAAATGTTAAAAGAATTTTTTATGTTACAAAAGATATAGTACAAAAACCATTTCTGTGTCAAGATTTTAAAGGCCTAGTAAAATGCAGAAACTTATAAAATTGTAACAATTTTTAATTTTTATTGATTTTAAGTGTAGTAATTATTATCAAATATTAATTTTTAATCCCAATATTCACTATAAATAGCAAGTTGACATTTATAAGAATAATTGTTGAAATAAAAAACTTAATTTTAAGGTTTTTATTGAAATATAATAAATTTTAAGAGAAAATTCCCCATGGTTTTATTTTTCAAATATTTTGCAACGAATGCTCAATCGATCAAGCTGCTCAACGATTCTAGAACCGAAATAAAGTTGACGAAATTCAATACACGGAGCTTGCTGACCAAGAGGCTAGGTCCTAGAAAGAATGAGTGAGATTACTACTATTTGTCCTTTGAGTAGTCCAGCAATCTTCGGTTACTAATTTTGCTTGCAGCAACAATGAAAAAGTATATTTGCAGAAAAATTTTCCAAAAAAATTTAACAGCAAGGATTTTTTATTAAAATTTATTCTATTTCAATAAAAATCTTCATATTCACCTTTTTTTTTTACAATAACGGTTCTTAAAAATGTGAACTAATTTTTAGAGTGACTACTGTGATCAAAAATAATAGTTAATAATTACAGTATATGAAATCAATAAAGGTAAAAATAGTAATAATTCTTTGGGTTCCTACATTTATTGGGGTCTTTAAAATCTTGATATAGAAATGGTTTTCGTACTATATCTTCTGTACCATAAAAGATTTTTTTAACCTATATTGACTTAAATCGAAGTTTAAGTGGCCAAAATTCTGTAAAAAAAATTTTTTGTGTTATTTGATAGAATCGTTGAGATTTGAGAACTAGTTCCAAACAAAAATTTTAACCCATTTTGGATACCTTAAATAATAATTTGTAACATTGTACTCTTTACTGAATCACCCTGCTTTTTTTTTTTTCATCTGGGTATATGTATATTGCTTTCTATCACCCTCCTTCGGAAATACAATAGAATTTTGGGCATCCTATATATATATAAAAGTAAAAACTAAATTAGAAATAAAAAAACATTAAACATACCTTAAATATTTTGTAATAAAACTCGAATAATTTATTATTAATATAGAAGCGTCAAATACATAATACTATATAATTTTATTACAGCAGCACCTGGTATAATTTTGATTCAGCAAATATATATTATAATTATTAAATTATATATTAAGTATTTTATATAGTGATGCTTAAACAACGACGATAGCGGCGGCGACAATGCTCAAATTGTTTGATTGTTAAAAACGCAAAAGTCGTGATGCTCAAAAGTCGTTCTTCTCTGTTCTTGTTTTCTGTTAAAATTCTTTAACAAATATACACACATGTATGATACAGTATAGTAAATATTATTAAATTTTTGTTGCCTTTTTGGTCCGGTTTCCGTTGCCCTTCTTATATAAGCATATAAATTGGTTTTTGTTGTTGATTTCGCATAGTTTGTATTGGCTATGTTACGTATCGTATTTATATATATATAAAGTTGTAACACTGATTCAAAATTTATTATTGTCTTTACACATATTATAACTTTTGATTTTGAAGTTCTGCAGTGCCATTTTTTGATTATAAAGTATTGCTGCAAAAAACCAAGGTTTTTTTGGCTGCCTTTTTTGTTTTTTTTTTTTTGCATTATGAGTAAACTCTCATAAATCGCACTTTAATTAATTTTTCTCTTATGATATAAATTTTTTATATATAAACATATAATATACACAGAGTATTCGGAATTAAATAGTATTCCTGAAGCAAATGATAAAATAAGTTCAGATGAATTACAAAAAAAATCGAATTTCCACTATCTAAACTAAAATAAACTAAAAATAATGCAATGAAAATAACAATGTTCAAAAATATAGCACATTTCCAGAGTTGAGAACAATTTTAAATTTTAATTTATTATAAGTCTTAATGCCTAAATAACAGACATTCTCTTATAAAAAATTATTTATACTCTAGTTCTGGGGTCAGTAACCTTGTCAGCATGCTGAACTGTGGACTATGACAAAAATAAGAACTAAAAAATGGATAGCGGGAAACCTTTTTCTGCAAAAATGTAGTCCCTTCTTCTTAGTGTATATACGAGTACGACGGTTCATTTAGCAAATGTAACATACTTTCGATTTGCTACTGTAATATCGAATTATCGTACAATAATTAAAAACAAAAAGGGCATTGAATTTTGATTCATCAATTAATGAAACTATTTTCCTTTACATTTTATATATTTTACATTTCGTATTTTAAATATATTTTGTTAATAATAGTACTGTTAAAAGTACATTTGCGCGGCACTCAAAAAAAATTATTTTAAAAATTGTTCACCGTTTCAAAAAGGTTTTTGACCCCTGCTCTTGTTTCAAACATTGAATTGTATTGCTTTAATTACTGTGGCTTATTCTGAGTATCGAATCGCTAAGTGATAGCGTTATTTATAGGCACGAATCATTTGTATGATTTGGTTTGCGTTTACAATAATAATATCGAACTTTTTACGATAATTATAACTATCACGTAGGGATTCGATACTCAGAATAAGACCCATTTATGAAATTTTTAAAAACATAAGGATTTATTTTTTCAAACATTTTGCAACGAATGCTCAATCGTGCATTCTACCAAAGTTTAGTTACTAAAAATTGACACATTTATTTTTCTTGCCACAGAGTTAAGAAAAGAAACTCTCACGTCGTATGTGGAAAGTTTTACAGAAATAGCACACACGATCGCCACCTTTCTTTTTGTAGTCAAGTTAATCACATAGTCAGTTCAAGTGTGAAATAACCAAACTTACGAAAATTCGTGGACCTCATCAGATGAAATATGTTTGTGTAGAGTTTTTTTAATAGACGATAATATTGAATTTTTGACATTTTAATTGAAGTCGATCGAGATTATTGTTGAAAACATGAAAAATTTATTCAAAGCTCCCTCCATTTAGCGCATTGTGCGGCAGCGCATTGAAAAGCTCCTTTTATGTTGAAATGGTAAGCAATATTTTAAATTTAAAAGAATTATTTAAAAATATTGAGGGGAACCAAGTTGTGGTCTTATTCAAACTTACAGTAAGAA